AAATTAAGGAGGGGAATCACTATTCTAAGGAAAATGGAAGATGGTGGCAGAGAAGGAACTGCTCGCTTGGACATTTAAGTTTCACTTAAAGTAAAAGGAGTAAAATTGGTGTGTCAGATACAGTGATCAAGCTAATTACATTTGCATTACATAGACAAACAGATGAAGGTAGCTTTGTAAAACCAGATTAAATGTGCCATATTTAGTTAAAGAAATGGAGGGGGGAGGGGGAGTCCAACATCAAGTTAAATATAACAGCACAAAAAAATATGTATTACTATGAAAAAGTTTCCCCCTACTCTAAAGGAAAATCTCCCTAAACAAGTATATTTATCTTACAGCACCTATGCCCAAAGAAAGTCTTCTGTCCTCTTTCTGGCAACCATCCCCAAATGAAGGCCTAAATCAATAAACAAAAATAATGTAAATTGTAGAAGTCAATCTAAAAAGTTTTTAAGAGCTTCTAGCTGTGCTATATTAGCTAATTTATGAGGGATGGGTTTCAAGAGTGAGGGTTTTATCGTTTGTTTGTTTAAAGGTAGTAGTTTTTGCTACCATATATAATTGGGTATATTGAGTACATATGCCCAATGGCTAAATCACCTTAGTTCCAAGCTTTTTCAAATAGTTATATCGACTACCATGCTCTAAACATACACAATGTAAGATTATGGCATTCATTCTTTATTTCTATTAAGTTTAAAAATTGCAGGTATTAGTGAGGCAGGGCAAATACCTTAAATTTTATTGAAACTGTAGATTCAACTGGTTCAGATATAAAAACTCAAAAGGTAAAAAGGAATGGCAGGCAGGATTTGTCCTCTAATCTAGGATCCTAATATACAGGGCACTTCAATGCCAAGTGTTTCCTCATCTGTAAAAAGGGGATAATAATAGCGTCTACCTCCAGGAGTTGTTGTGAGGCCCAAGTGGCATAATAATTGCAAAGGGCTTAGCACACTGCCTGGCTGTATAAATGTGAGTTGCTATTTTTTTATATATATATATATATATTTTTATATATATATATTTTTATATATATATATACACACACATATATATATGTATATATATACATATATATAATATACATATATATATATATACACACACACACACACGTGTGTGTGTATGTGTGTGTATACGTGTGTGTGTGTGTGTGTGTGTATACACATATACATATGAAGGATTGAAGCTTGCCCTGTTAATTCCCCTAAGGCAATATTTTACATAGCTCAAACAAATCAATTCTTATAGGCTAAGTAACTAAGGGATTGAAAAACTATACTGAGACTTAGGAAAAGGTCTACACACAAAATTCTCTGCTCTATTTAGTATCTGTGTGAATATCTCTGGAGTTATCAAAGCTCCCTATATATATCTTGCTGTCTGCATTTTTGCTCATAAGTTAGGTCACTAATCAAGGGCCTAAAAATAAAGGAAAGCCACAAAAGCCTCATTAACTCTATTTAATAAAATAGAAATCTTTTCCTTGTGAGAGTTCCATGGATTCTGCTGCTTTTTCCAACTTTACCATGTCATTAGCTGAATACTGGGACAGGTAAGACATATTCAGTTTAGACACCAACTAAAAATACTGATGACAATATTCTATTTCCTATTTCTTTGAATATACTAAATTTTGGGTCGTTTTTAAGCAGTAAGATCAACATATTCTGGCATATTTTAAATCTTCAAGGATTTGACACAAAAGCTCAGTGGAAAAAACGTTTTCCACTGACAAGTTTCTTCCAGACACCAAACAGACCATCCTTTGTTACAAACCTGTCTATGAGCTCCTACTTGTAAGTGTTCTTACAACAATTTCATGGAATCTTCCGAAGAACACAGATGCACTTGAACACACAATGCTTTCATGCAGCAGGTCTAAACTATAAATGCAGAAGACACTCTCTTCTATATGTGTGAATTAAAAACCTATAAAATAATACAAGCATTCTAAAATTTGTGTTTAAACTGATAACAGCTTTACTGATTTACTGACAATGAAAATATATAGCATTTTTTCCATCAGAGCATTTATCAACACTTGGCATCCCTGCACTAACTTGACATGTAAGATGATCAAAATGGATTATGTAGTCTTTCCCATTCATTTCTATTGATTTTAGTTATGATAAAATTCATCAGTGTGCATAGGAACGCTTAGTCTGAAAGGCTCTGGTTGACAAAAAACCCTACAGAGCTGTAATAGGCTGGATGTAATTTTAAAATGGGATTGCACAAATACAGAACTCATACCCTAAAGGCTTCAGCTACAAATTAATACAAATAATTCAGGCTATCTCATAAAAATTAAATCTGTCTAATGCAGAGGTCTCACTTCTGATATAGCATTGTAAAAGTCAGAGCTAAAAAAAATTAACAAGTAAATGTCATTCTAAAAATATAGTTTCTTAAAACATTTTTCAAACTTTTTTTTTAACTTCAGGACTAATCAAAGTTATTTCTGTGACTGCCAGGAACATCAAAATGCCAGTGAATGGACCATTTTAATCAGTTTTATTGATTCATGCTTTCAGTTCTTATTCAGTTAAAAACAAGGCACATTAAATACATCCTCTTATTGCTCTATAAATGCATGCAGCTCATTCTGTATATCAAAAGTAATAAATAATGGCAATAAAACACCAAGACAGTTATAAAAATGACAACCCAGCTTCAAACACAGTATTTAACAGTCCAATCTAGAACAATAACCTAACATAATACATAAAAGTGCCACATGTAAAAACATGCAGTATGTCTATCCAGGCCAGCACAGAGCTTGTAGCTGTTGGTAATTTGTTTCTGGTTTCACACATAATAAGGACGATTTTCCCCTGGACCACCCATAGGATTGAAATAATGCAAAACAAGACAAAGATACAGCTGCATCGGGTTTCACCATTATTACATTCATATGCCAACAGCTTTTTCTTAAATACATAAAATGTGGGATAATTAATTCAATGATCGATCCTTGCATTTTTTAACCTATCACAAATAAGAGTGCAGTTCTTGCCACAGAACAAGATACAACTAGCATTCCACATACCATGAAGAAAGGCCAAACAAAGCCAGAATTTAATGCAGAATAAAGGAGCATGCAGTAGAAATCCTGAGGTTCCACTCAAGATACATTGATTGAAAGCAAGAAATGGAACATGGGGTATGTGGAGGACAACTATGGCCTGTAAATTAGTCTTATATTATCACTACTGCTTCAACTATAGTGGGGGAACTAATTTTAGCCATAGCCTACAAAGTGTTCACTACAGGCAGCATTTTTTTTTATCTGAACCTCTTTAAAAAGGATCTCAAAAGTCACTTTGTAAGACTAACTGGAATAGGTTTCAGGAAGGGCTTGATTTTTCCAAAAATTATTATCAGGTAACCCCTCAAATGTTCATTTAGACATGACACAAAATGCTTGTATGCTTTATTCATAGTTAAAAAAAAAAAGGGTTGGCACCAGCTGATTCCTGAGACAAGTGTCTGGATCTTGTGAAGAAGTACAGGTTCAGAATCAGCAGATTTTAGGAGAAAACTGATACAAGACTTCACACACAGCTAAACATGCACAAGGCCTATTTAACAAATGCAGATCTGGCAAAAGAATCTGCAGGTTCCTAAGCAAAAGAAGTCAGTTTCCTACTGTATTAGGTTCAGGGAGATACAAGTCATCATTATCTTGATTTAACTAGAGGAAGAGAAAGAAAGGGAAACCAAACATACAATATTACAATATTTCATCCCAGAGGCACACACGCGTAAAAAATATATTTTAAAAATAACTTTTCCGTCTGTTACGTTTGCTTAGCTTTAGACAGAGAAATTAATAATGTTTTGAGAACAATGCTGAATTGCTCTATTTCAGCTGTCATTTATTAAAAATACTGGCTGTAACCTTGGAAGAAAAGAATGTCACAGTGACTTCTGGAAGTATCACTACCTTGGTTTTGGTTTCATACTCCTTGTGGCAAACACATGAACCTAAGCTCCTTGCGGGCAGGTTGCTTTCTATCTCTGTAGCCTTGTACAGTGCCATGCAAGTGGTAAGCACTTAATAAATGTTTACAGAATTTTAAGTGATCTTTTTAAAAATTGTATTTTGATGCATACTACTGCTTTTTGAATCTCGCCATTCACAGTCTCAATGGTGACATAAATACTAAGAGAGAGGCATTAAGATCCGATCTTATGTTAGCAGAAAAGACTGCTGTGCTGTGGTTTGTCAATTTGTGTGCCAGTTTTTTATAACTAAGATTTTCCAATCATGGTAGTGATATTTGCTTCTATATACAGAACCTGATCTTTGCAAAAGCTTCTGTGGGTTCAATTCACACCGGGAAGGGCCAAGGGACAAACTACCAGATGAAGGGAACACAACTAGAACCAAGTAGCAGCAAAAATATTCCTAAACTGTCCTTACTTAAAATGTCAAGTTTTTTCTATAAGAGGACAAAAGGGAAAATACTTTTAAGGATTTGAAAAAAAATAACAATGCAACTCTGTGCTTGTGGTTAATATTCAGAATCAGAGCAAACTAAGATATTTTATTTCTACTCCCCCGCCCATTTCTTTGCTAAGTGAGCAAAACCAGTGCAACAGGGCTCAGTCTAAACCAATATTAGAGAATATCATATGCTCCCTCAAAGGTAAGATCTAAGGCTTGAGACCTGTGCTTTTTTTTTTAACATGTGCTTGCAGAAATACATTTCTACCATTATAATACTACTATAAAGAGATGGAAAATTTGGGCTCATCCTTGCTATATCCAAATGTACCACTTCCATGCTAGTCTCAAAGCAAGGAAATCAAGGATCTTCTGGCAACTTCAGCAGTCAAAGAAAACCAGCAGCCACTGAAAAAAAAAATGAACTGCCGAGATGAAACTATCACTGTAAGACTCAGTAAATGTCAATGCTATCCTTATCTATACCTGTGATTTGGGAAGCTTTCAGTTTCTCTTTGTAACTTACTCCTGAAACCAGATCTAAACTTTTTTAGTTTTGGCAGTCACACCTGAGATAGAAAATTGAACAATATTGTGAACTCGAGGCAGAGGGAACAAGGTGGAAGGAAGAAATCCTCAGAAACACTATCATTTAAAAAGGGGTCATTCTGCATGCCCTTTCTTTTTCAAGAGTAAAGGCTATCTAAAAGTTTAATGAACACAGGTATGTGTCAGCAAATCTCTTCCAAGTTCTTCCTTGAATTTCTGCCAAAACATTCTGCTTTGAGAACTGAGAAAAGCATGTCTAGTCTAACAGGCCAGAAGTATAGTGTTAAAATCTGTATGGAAAAATAAAGGTAAACTGCCCCTTTTATAGGCAATGCTGCATGGCAAATAGGAATCAAGGGCATACACAGAGATATATCTTAGAGCTTTGGAATGTTTCCAGTGGTCAAAAAAAAAAAAGCAGCTATACAGATCCACTAGTTTAGAGAAGTAAGAGTTGTTTCTAGTTGTTTCTAGCATAGTGCTTTGTTGTTGGTGTTGTTTCCGTGTTTGTTGGTTTTTGTTTTTGTTTTGTGAACTGTTCAGACTCACAATCCTCCACAACTCCGATCCACTGGAATGGGAGCTCTTGAACCCAGACTTTCCTCTGCTGTCTTCATGAGCACTGCCAGACGGCTTCCAGACACCATTCCTTTTTGAATAGCGCTCATGAGCTTAAAGAAACAGCGTTCAAGATGTTAAAACACATATACACATACACCACACACACACACACTCTCTCTCTCTCTCTCTCTCACACACACACACACACACACACACACACACACACACCACGGCCAGCCCATTCAATTCTGAACAGCACTGTAACAGTTACTAAAACTACAAGCTGAGATAAATGAGTTCTCTACCAAAAACCATAGCAGGTGCTACAGACAGCAGAAGCAAAAAAAAAAAAAGGCTTTCATTTTGGTGAATTTCAAACAGGAAGGCAGGTAGATCATTTCTACAGAATAGTCTATCCCATAAATCAATCTGTCTTTGAAAGCTAATCTTACTTGTTACCCTTCTGTGTGTTCAAAGCACTTGAGTATTTGAGAGTATCTTAAATACTGGATTCTAAATTTCATTTGGAAAAATGTAAAGCAATACTAGAGATAGGATAAAGACAAAACAATCCACATGATACCAGTGACCCCATATTTAACAGGTGGAATGGGGATGAATGATAGTGTACTTGACTCCTTCAATATTTCTAAAGTCAAATTACTTAAAGACTTTTCAAAGTAATTTTCATTTAAGTCCTTGAAACCATACCCAAAGATCTACCTTAAAGAATTAATAAACTCCAGTGCTCAGATTTTAGTTAATTCTTTTTTTTATCCAATGGATAAAATCAGAATTAGCCTCAAAATTACATGCACTCAGCTGGCAAAGGACTTTTTCATGTAGAAAGTACTAGGCAATTATGTTGTATGTATTTTTTTTTCCTTTTTCCTGCCCAAGACTTGCCAGTTTTTTATGATTTGTTTTCCCTATTTCTATCTTCCCCAATAACTTTTCTTTTTATTTCTTGATAGCTCTGGCCATTAACCACACCTGAAATACAACTGACTTACAGTGCTCTTTAATACATTTACACGTTTTGGATTTCACATTTCATCCCTTTTATATATTAATAACTTCCAAGGATAGAAATGGACTATTCAGATCCTAACACCAAAGATATTTTATAAGGCATTATTTCAAAGATTTGGATTGTTAACTGCAATAGAGCCCCAAAATCCTGAGACCCCAAGTTGTAGACTCATACATCTATGACTGTTCCAACCAACGGATTATCTAGAAATAGTCTTTCTAGTCAATAAGATTAAGAAGATAAATCTAGGCTATATATCTTCAGAAAAAGGAAAGATTTTTAGCCTACTTTCACATCAAGCTAGAACCTACCATATGTTAAAAAGAAGGAGGCACAGTAGGGGCTGGGGGTTAAAGGGTGTAAAACAAACTTCATTTTCAATCACTTGTGACCATTTTAGAGAAGACATCCCACGTTCATTATTTGGCATAAACTATTAAAACACTAGAAGGACCAGCTGTGTCAACTGACACACGAATTTTTAAATCTTTTTTTTATAATTTTACTATAATTTATTTCAATTTCCCCTATCTGTTCAAATGCACTTTAAATACAAAGATTTACAAGCAAATATATAATTTTACTTGGAAATAAAACTTTTCATCTTACTGTCTCCAGTATGTCCAGTACTATCTCAATTGATATAGCTTGGTCTTCTGAGGTATTCTTAAATTCTGGTCCTTCTAGAGTTTTAACAGCTGAAAACATAAAAATAAACTCTTCCATAAATAGTTTATTGCTTAGGCTGTTAGTCTACAAATACCTTAAACTCTATTGCAAAAAATGACCATCTTGAGTGAAAGTTATCTTTTTAACTAGAGTCAATTTGAATATGGTATCATATCTAAAATACTATCTTCTGTCATGATCCATTTTAAATTTTAAAAGCACTCAAATATCATTTTATACAGAGAAACAATTACAGGTTTCTATGGATCCAATGAGATATATTATCTTTGACTTTTTTTAAAAAAGGTTTTAAAGTACTTATAGCATTTGTATTTAGAATACAGGCTTTTTTTCATGGATAATTGGAAAAGTTAAAGCCTGATCACCAAGAGATTCTATAAGAACACATGCAGAAAGATTCATTACTTAGCAACAATTTTTTTCAACTATGCTCCACTCAAATTAACTGAAGTACTAAACACCACAACTCATGCCATCCATGATGTTGGATTTCTAAACAAAGCTTAGTGGGCCTGGAGTCAGAAGACCTCTGTTCAAATTCTGACTCTGATGACTCATTCCCCATATCAATGAGGGCAAATTATTCAACCTCACTGAATGTTGGTATTCTCATCTGTAAAATGGGGTAGTGATTTTTGTGAAGGAAGCCCTCTTGTGAGGCCCTCGTCAAGTACAATGTAAATATTAGTTTTTTCAACACTAAATTTTTTAAAAGGATTTTTAACATGGGAGAAAATACATGACTTTACTTGATGGAACATTTTCCAAAAATCTACAGAAAATTTTTTTAAAATTTTCTTGAAAATTACAAAGAAAAGGCATTATGTGGTTTCCATTTTAAAAGCCCAAATGATAGCCTGGATTTATTTTGTAGCCTGTCTTAGTTAAAGAACTAGGCTTTGCAGGGATGAAACTCTTTTTTGTAATGCTGGACACAACCTGTAGAAATTTTCTACATTTAGATTCAACAATGCTCTTATCTGCAGCTCATCTCCAGAGAGACAATTACCATTTCCTTTGCCTTGATCTTGTTTGTTTAACTTGACACAGTGAAGAAAGGGCTGACATTGACCAAAATCCCCAGCATTAATTTATCTCATGTTCAGCATTCATCATTGCCATGACACAGCAAAGACCTGGCAGTCATTTGAAATACCTACCCAAGAAAGACTACAAAAACAAACCTAACTAGTGAGGAATAAATAAATAAACTCTTCATAAGTGGAATGAGACAGACAGATACAAATATAGTGCCGGTCATCTTGCTTTATTTTGTTTCCTTCTTTAGAGATATTTATGAGGATTAATGATCTTCACGCCTAGTTGCTTTATGGAGTGAAAATACGAAGTTCCTATCATCAATCAAAATATTAAAGAATTGGGACCCAAGTATGGAATTACAAAGAACATAAATATTTGAATTATATAATATCATAGATATGGCCTTGAAATTAAAACATACATTTTTCCCTTTGGTTTGCTTTTCAAGTTACCCATAAGACTACAGCACAGTTTTTTTTTCTTTTTGTTTTTTAAGAGCTAAATAATGCATATTTAAGATATTAAATGTATCTAAAGACATGTTGGGTCCTCTGGTAAAGTTGGGCAATGGCTACTTTAAAAGGGATATTGAGCTGTTCTTAAAAAAAAAATTATGGTCCTGGGTTAAGCCCTTAGCCCTATTCAGGGCCCATATTTAATCTAAATGGCCCAATATATTGACGAGGGCCTCACAAGAGGGCTTCCTTCACAAAAAGCACTACCCCATTTTACAGATGAGAATACCAACATTCAGTGAGGTTGAATAATTTGCCCTCATTGATATGGGGAGTGAGTCATCAGAGTCAGAATTTGAACAGAGGTCTTCTGACTCCAGGCCCATTAAGCTTTGTTTAGAAATCCAACATCATGGATGGCATGAGTTGTGGTGTTTATGAGAAACATGAATAACAAAGAAAAAGAAAAAATGTTTTACATCACAAAAGCTCTTCACCAGCTCATATAGATTACTTGATAAAGCTATGGATACTGATTTTCTTTATATTCACAAATATAGATATAGGCAGATAGAAGGCTTTTTCTGATTTCTCCCTGAAACATGTATTTCTAGTACCCTCCTTCCTCAAAATGTTTCTGTATGTGTACAAATGTATATACACATACATGCTTGTGTGTGTGTGTGTGTGTGTGTGTGTGTGTAAAAAGAGATGGATATGTATGAGTGGGCTTGCATACACAGGTACAGAGTATACTGTAGTAGACAAAAAGAAAATCTTGAAGCCAGGAAGACCATATTTAAGTCTCACTTCTGACTGAGTGATCCTGGCCAAATCACTTAACCCCTCAGGCATCTAGGCAATTCTCTAATACTATGTGCTGAAAAGAAGGTATTGATCCTCACTGGAAAGGGAGTTTCCTCACCAGACAGTTCCCTAAATCAATCAAATCACAGGTCCAATAGAAACAAACACACACACACACACACACAAATCCATTTCTGACTTTTAACCTACTTCGCTTTTCAGTGGTAAAAGGCAATGCCAACTATGTGTACTTAGTGGTCTATTTCTCATAACAAGTTAAATAATGTGACCTTTCAGAGATAAGAAGATATTTTGGGGATATTAATTTTTTTTTGTCATTTGTCATTTAAAAAAAGGAAACAGCCACAACTCACCTGCAAAAACTCATCGAGTTCAACCAATCCATTTTTATTCAAATCTACTTCATTGAGAATTTCATGTAGTGTATTTTGATTCATTTGAATATTGACACTCTAAACGAAAGAAAAGTAGAGGTAGAATTAATGAATCGCAAATTGTAGCTTTCTATTAATTTTATTAAAGATTTTAAAGTCCAAACAAAGTTACCTCTAGCACACGCTGAACATCAACTATGGTAATAAAGCCTTTTTGTTCTTTATCAAACATGTGAAATCTCTTTTTATACCTGAAAAATAATGATCATTAATGGAAAATTTTGCTGGTATTAGAAATCTTTTTAAAATTCAGAGTGAAGGAAAATTTAAAAGATGGTGGATGTACCTCTCAATATCAGCAGGCTGTAGACTAATTTCAGAACAGGGCGTAAGCTGCTCTGACCGAGACTTGTAACCCATTTCATAGTAAAGAAATCTTGTTGCACAGTCAAGTTCCTCCTAAAACACAGATCAAATCCCCAAAGCACTATCAATTCATTCAATCAACATGTATTTAATAAGCCCTTACAGTATGTATGTGCCCAGACCCATACAAAGAACTGGAAGCACCAAAGACAAATGTGAAGTAATTCCTACCATCAAGGAGAGGAAATTCCAAAGTCTAAGCTCTGTTTAAAAATTTCCCTTAAGTTGGGGCAGATAAATAGCACAGTGCATAGAGCTCGGGCCTTGGAGTCAGAAGGACCGGAATTCAAATCCAACCTCAGACACTTGACATTTACTAGCTGTGTGACCCTGTGCAAGTCACTTAATCCTGACTGCCTCACCAAAAAGGAAAAATAAAAACAAAAACATAGTTCCCCTAAGAAATAAAAGGCAGAAAGGAGTATTTCTTCATTCAGTCCAAAATTATTTATGATATCTGGTATCTGTTGGCATCTCAAATACAATGTTAGCAATGGTTTAAAGTGAACAAGTACTTAATTGAGATGGTGCAAACTACTCCAATGCTCATCACTTCACAAGGAGTGAAAATGATGTCACAATGTGATGTAGGAATGCAGGAATCTGGCATTAGGACTTTGATGGAAGTATTGAAAAAAATAGGATCAAGGGATGGAATAGGATCCTTTCAGTCTCCACCTTATGAATACATCCAGCCATCAATCAATACTTATTGCTTCTGTATATGTGCAAAAAGCTGTACTAGTCAAATAACCAAATAAGTCCCCAGTGATATGATAACATCTAGCTACTTCTCAAAACTATATAGAAAGATGGGTATTCCTGTGCCTTCCCTAACTTTTTACAATGTAGAAGGACAGTGGCTTATTGATTCACCACAAAGTTATGGGTGGAATGATCTGAATGTGCAGGAATAGAATAAGAGCCCTGAGATCTGGTTGTGAAGAGATGCTGATTCAATTAGTGCCAGGAATTCAGACTGTGGGAGGTGAGATGGTGGAAGAGAATTCTACAAACTAGACTGATCACATTCCACCCACTGGGAGGCAATGGATTTACTTTGAATTATCATTCCTTGAGCGTGTTGGAGGTAAGAGTTTGGGAAATGATTAACAGATATTTTTCAGCACAAACTATGTACAGAGCTCTTACAAAGAAAATAACAAGCTTAAATCTATCCTTCAAGCCCTTCTATCAGGCTTGGAATTCATCAATACCTTTTCTCCCTTAGTTTAGTGCCACCTCTGTTAAGCCTTTCATGTGTTTACTTTCTTTCCCTTCCCAAATTTCCTTTGGCCTGGATCTCTCCTTAACTTGCACTTCTGCCTATCTTGTATTAAAATTATGTGCACACATATGCTTAAGTGCAGAAAATAGGTCCTTTTTTCTTGATGTCTAACAGTGCTTTGCACATAGTATGGGCTTAATAAATATTTGTTGAATTTTATTTTGAATTTAAGAATCAGAAGGATTGTGGCCCACTGTGTACCATTCTGATCACACCATTCACTATATGTTGACTACTATGATTACAAAGAGCTAGTATTAATTTATTCAACAAACATCGATTATGCACTAACTCTCTGCTAGGCACTCTATAAAGCATTTGAAATACAAAGACAAAAGAAAATAACTTTTGCTCTCAAGGAGCTGATATTTCTGAGGGAAAGACATAAATACAGATAAATAAATGCAAACCATATACAACATACACGCACCACACACAAAACAAACACAAAGGAGTAGAGGGAGATGCTAGCAACTGGAAGTTTGGTTTTTAATGCCAAATAGGAATTTATGTTTAATTCTAGAGATGAATGGGAACCAGTGAGTCTTCATGAGTAGGGGGTGAATGGAGTTCAATCTGTTCTTCAGGAATATCAATCTGGCAGCTAAGTGGATCAGAGACTAGAGATGAGAGAGACTAGAGGAAAGATCACATTAGAAGGACATCACAACAGCTCAGATGTAAAACAGCTTGTTAGTGGAGGACTGGGCTTGGAGTCAGGAAGACCTAGGTTCGAATCCTGCCTCAGAACCTTACTAATGATGTGACTACAGTCAAGTCACTCACCCTCTATGAGCCTCAGTTACTCCATATGTAAAATAAGGGAGCTGAACTCAATGATTTCTAAGATCCATTCCAATTTTAAATCTACCATCCCATCAAGACAAGGGGAAAGGAAGGGGGAAAGTTATTTATTAAATGCCTACTATATGCTAGCCACTATAGCAAGTGCTTTATAAATATTATTTTATCCTCAAAATAATTCTGTGAGGTAGGTGCTGTGTTGATGTTCATTTTTCAGTTCAGAAAACTAAGGTAGACAGAGGCTAGGCAACTTGTCCAGTCTCGCACAGCTAGTAAGACCAGAATTTAATTCAGCTCTTCTTGACTTCAGGTCCAGAGCTCTACCTGTGATCCCGCACTGCTACCCCAGCTAGGCTTGTTTGCCATGTGTGAGTAGAGAGACAAAAATATTGTGGAGGCAGAATTGAAGCGACTTAACAACCAGCTGGCTACAGGGAATGAGAAAGAGTCATTCCTAAATGATTCAGATTTTGCAAACCTGAGTGACCAGAAAGCTGTTGGTGCCCCCAAAAGAAATAAGGAAGTATAGAAGAAGGGTTTAGAGTAAAAACAATGAGTTTGAGTCTGGACCTGTTGAATTTAAGTATTTACCCTTTTCTATTGTTTCCCCTTAATGCAAATTAAGTCATTCCAATTATTTAGGGCTATAACTAATGAGTTAGACCAAAACTTGCTCTTGGCCTTGTTTTACAGTGGTTCTAATTGCTGTATGCATGGCAATAGCATCAAGGTAGACAAGTAAGTCTGTGCTCCTGAAAATTATTATGGTTGAAGCTAATTGAAACAGATGAAAATAAAGTAGTAAAAAAACTTTCCTACCAAGACACTACCACTTATCAGATTCATCCCTAATAGTGATATGTAAGATGACTTCTTTATATCTAAGCCTTGGCTTAGAATAAATTGGCTTTCTTTTGGCCTGAGGATAGGGGATCTAACATGAGGCTTCACTGAATAAGCACTTGAAGGTCTGGGAATGGGGCCATCATTTCATATTGCTTGTTAAGAGAATCATCTATAAAAACATTTTTGCTACCAAAGGGGAAAAGGCAGGAAACAGGAGTTTGACTAGGTGGTACATTCTAAGAAGGTTTTCAATGAAAATGTATAAAGATCTAATGGAGAATGCTCTAACACCCACTAACACAACAGAGTAGCCAAGTACTTTATCTGAGAGCCAATGTGCTTACTGGAGAGATGTGGTGGTAAAATTCTGTATTCAATACCTTTTTCTTTTCCTCACTCCAATTCAGTTCCCTTCCCATCAGTTCAACAATCTTAGGTAGAGCTTCCTCTGCAGCCTGGACATTCAGAAATGCAAGTCGAGTACGGCGTGAAATCATATCTACTGCTGTGCATGCATACTCTTTGATTCCATATTTCACCTGTGTTTGACATTTTTAAAAGTTATTTTGTACCCAAAGGTTTAAAGGCAACTGGTCATGTACCAAAAAAAAAAATCCCACATAAACATGCATGTACATGAAAGGTAAAGTTTGGTTTTATACTGTTTGGTCACCTAGCTGGTTTAAGATGAGCAGTAACAATGCCTACAGCTTCACTCTTCCTGACAAATCATAGTTTGAAAAGTTGACTCTCTGGAAAAGGAGCAGCTTACTCTCAATAAAACCTCATATAAATATGCAAATCTCCCCTTCCTCTCATTTGCCATCTTCTCATATGAGCAGAAAAGTAAGTATCCTCTACTTACGCATTATATGAATGCTATTTTCCCAATTCTTTTTATTTGTTCTTTGGTCAGATACAGTAGAAAGAGCAACATATCTGTCAGAAGATAGGATTCCAATCCCAGTTCTGTGACATCTTAGTCCTCAGTTTCTTCACATGTAAAATGGAAGGGTTTGATGAGACATGGCTTCTGAGGTCCTGTTGAGCTCTAAACCTATGACCTATAACTCTTATCCTACCCAACCCCTACAATCCTATGATTTGTAGACTTCTTTAATTTAGTCTCCATAGTATTTCCTGTCTTGGATTGTAAATAACCAGATAAAATTCTTATTATTGTGTACATATGTGTGTACATATATGTATATATGTATACATATATACATATAGGTGTGTGCATATATATACACACTTAATACATTCCTTATGGTGACAATGCAATTAGCATTATGTCAACAATAAAATACTTATTGAGTACATAGTTGCAAAGCAGTGTTGGGTGTTATGGGAGATACAAAAGAAGTATAAGATAATACCTCTACCCTCAAGCAATTAATACTTATTTTGGGCAGACAATGTATAAACACATGAAAACTTTAAATAACAAATTAAGACATCATAAGAAATATCACAAGATAGAACGTGAATATCAAAAGGGTGGTATAGATAAGTGCTAGGAGATCAGAAGAGCAAGAAATCACTATGGATTGAAGTGGTTTGGAAAAGCTTAATGTTAGCAGTGACTTAAGCTGGTCCTTGAAGGACAGATTGGATTTTGTCAGTATCTTGTTATTGCTCTAATTCATTCTATCCTTCCAAATTTTAGAATTAAATGTAAAAGGTAACCAAAAAGATCACAGTTGTATGGCTACTTATTTCAGATTCTGGCAGATGTTCAAGAAGACTAAACCAGCAATGTCTTAATTTGAGAGAGGAGAAGAATCACAATAAAAGTGAGTGCAATTCATCACAGACACCAAAGGAAAATAGGTCATTGAGAAGCAGCCAACCTCATACCTCTGCTTCAATGTATGGGAATTCAGACACAAGCCGCACTCCAACAATGGGCCATCTTTTTCCAGTTACGCTTGCTATTTTGGCTACCTCGAAGGCTTTGTCACCATAAGTAGAAGCAAGATGTTGAGCCACCTATAAAAAGGAAATCACATTAGGCAAAGACCTTGAATATCAGCATCTCCTAGGTAAAAAGAAAAAACCAAGCAAATAAAAAAACATGTGTAAGGGGTTCTTGTCAAGTGTTCCCACGGCATGTAACAAATAGGTTTAGGAGAGTATTAGATTTTGATTGTGTGGGAGGACACTCCCTGATCTCCGGATGCTTAGACTAGCACTAAAGCTAAGAAGCATGTATCACTGTTATCAGTGAGTAATGATACTTCAGCTTCAGTCTACCTCTAGGATCACATCTGAAGAATAGATTCAGTTGGTCTTGAAAAGTAACAAACTTAGGATGCCATGCCAACTGTTTAAAAAAGTAAACAGATAAAACAAAAGGGGAAAATATAGTCAGAAAACCTATTGTGAAATTGATGCAGAAAGAATGCAGGTTGTAAGGTGCCCTGAATAAAAGAGAGATTTATTCATTCATTCATTCATTCATTCTCTCTCTCTCTCTCTCTCTCTCTCTCTCTCTCTCTCTCTCTCTCTCTCCCCCTCATTAAAACTTACTGGGTGCCATAGGATCGTATTACTCATAAATGTGTACTCAGCTAATGTAACTCCGTACAAGAAAGGTCACACTCTGGCTGATTTTGTTCTTATCGTTATCTATTTAAGCAAAGAGGAAGATGAAATGCAATAAACACATACCTCACTTTCAAGTCCATAATCCTGAACCAGTCTAATGTACAGAGTAGGGCTCCAATCCTTACCACCCTGCAGATAAAGGCCACTTGTCCTACTTGGCCCGGCTTTAAAATTGTGATTTTTGATAGCAATATCTATGGTATCTTCAGCCATAGAACGGTAAGTAGTCCATTTTCCACCTAAAAACAACATGTATGAGCAAATAAGTCACCGGATTGTCATACTGTTTGGTTTTTTATTTTTTTAAATTAACCAGTTATTAATTTCATTAGTAATAAAGTGATTCATTTGGTCATTGTTTAGATAGCAAAACAACATAATAGCATTAATTCAGATTGCAATAATGGCAACAATTCAGACATTCTTAATGGCATTAATTCAGATCCCACAAGGTGGGAATACTTCCATTGGAGACCATCATCTGAGCTTCATGAAAAACCAGTTCAATTTCCCATACCTGCTATAGTAATAAGGCCACTTTCACTGGTATCAACAACATGATTTCGAGAGATTGACTGGGTATCTTTAGACTTCGGATCTGTAACAAGGGGCCGAATTCCACTCCAAGCTGCTAGGACATCCCCTCTTCTCACTGTGAAGAATAAAAATAAAGGCTGAGGGTGCTAATACATTAGCATGTCAAGAAAACTAGAGCAATTTTTAAACAGTGGGATGAAGTTACAATCAACAGGAACAGAAGGCAAATAATGTGGACTCAGAGGGGAAATAGCTTTAAATATAAGATGGAAATGATTGGCCAGGTGCCAAGTTGGACAGAAAAACAATCTAGAGGTAATAATGAATATGAATTAATGATCCTATTAATGCTCAAATGTATTAGCCTGAGCAAAATTATCATTAAAAAAAGTCCAGAGAAAATTAGTTATCAACATCCCACCAGATGGAGGTACTCGCTAGAAAGAACTGCCCCCAAAAGTACTCCTGAAATTCAAGAACCCCATAACTCAATAAGGACCTTTCTCTCTCCTACTCCTTTTTCTATTTCCTATGAAAGAAAACAAAGTTTCTTTAAAATTTTATTTAATCAGACAAGTACAGGGACTGTAGAATTTTTACCATTTAACAGTTTTTCTTCCTATGGGAATCCTTTCAATATTTTTTCAAGTCAAGAAGCATTTATTAAGTGCCTACTATGTGCCAGGTACTATTCTTTCTTGTTACTTTTCCTATCCTACTGCTGCTACTACCTTTATTTAGCTCCTTCCATTTCATGTTTGAGGAACACAGTTTTTAGGGGAAAAGAAAAGTTTTTTGAATAGATACTTGTATCCTTTAAGAACATGGCACCGTCTAAATATAATGTATATTTACATAGATGGTCAAAAATTTGTAAAGTGCTTCTCTCAAATAACCTGGGAGGTAGGTAGTCCAAGTATGATTTAATGGATGAGAACATTTCATGGATGAGAACACTGGCTCAGGGAGGTGACTTCACCTGCCAAATATCACCTAGCTAGGGTCAGAGGTCAAACTCATGTATCTATTGAACTGTGGGCTCACAGATTTGGAGACAGAAATGACCATAGAGGTCATCTAGTTCAATACGCCTCATTTTACAAAAGAGGAAACTGAAGCCCAGAGAGGTTAGTGACTGGCCCAAGGTCACATATGTAAAAGGGGCGGGGCCAGTATTTGAACTCCAAATCCAGTGCTCTTTCCATTAAACTGTAATGACTCTCCAAGTTTCATATTCCTTCCATCACACCATGTGGCCTCTCTATATGAACTTTCCCCATCATAACAACTAGGTTTTACCTTAATCTTTCTTGAGATGGTCCCATTCCCACTGGCTCTCTTCTCCTCACTTCTGATTCCCTTCTCTCATTTACCATTCCTTTCCCTTTGGGGCTTTGCTTATTATTAGTATTATCCTTTTTCTCTCCTACATATCTGGATATATAACCCCCCACACATTTTCCTTCTTCATCAGGTAGATTCCTCCTTGTCTTCCCCTTCAACTAGTCCTGTTCATTAGTTTTTAAATTCTCGTTTTTGTACCCTTTCTCAAAAAGGATTTCTCCCACTCTCTTCATTATTCCATCGCCCTTCTGTCTACTTTAGACTCTCATTCTCTGATTCATGACCCCTATAACCATCTGATCTCTCATTTCTTTGTATTCCTCAACCAATCACAGTTTATATTCTAGGCCAGGGTGGAGAACCTGAAGCCTAGAGACCACGTGTGGCCCTCTAGGTCTTCAAGTGTGGCCCTTTGACTGAATCCAAACTTCACAGAACAAATTTCTCCCCTACTCCACTCCCCATTTGCATGTACCCTCCCAGGCTGTAATATAGTTCCACATAACAAACACTGATTCAGGTGTCACCAGGTTCTGCCCATAATGCTCCATTCCTGTCACCTCCACCAGATTTCTGCCTTCACCCCTATATCCTTGTTTATTTATTTAGACAAAAGTTTCTTACTAGTCTTTCTGCTATCATTCTGTTACAGCTGCTGCCTGCATTTAATCAGTCCTCTTATATTTGTTGTTTGGGGTATTCGAGAACCAATAATCTCTTCAGTTCTGGTTTTCTTTCTTTTTGGAAAAATTCTAAAAATGTTTCAAGTGTCTATTATTGAACATCCATCTTTTTTTCAGAAGTCATCCTGGGCTACATCCTGAACTCCACTGTACTTCAGAACACATTCACTCCTATGTTTTCTGGTAGGTGCAGAATAGTTGAATTTTATGAATTTCCTTTTTTTAAATTTTTATTTGAAGGTCTTTTTCCTCATTGCTTGCAGAACTTGTTACTAAATTGAATTGTTAAATTTAATTACTATGTGTCTTGGAGTTTGCCACCTTGTTTTTTTTTTCTGGAGGTGATCTGTCAATTCTTTTGATTAATATTTAATTTTCTGGTTCAGAAGTCCTGGGAGGTTTTCTGCTATTAAATCTTGCATTAATGGTGTTGAGGTTTTTTGTCCTGTCATGCACTTCTGGGAGACCTATAATCCTTAGATTGTTCTCAACATATCCTGTCTTCAAGATCAGTTTTTTTGCTTGCATAATGGGTATATTTTCTTTTGACATTATTGATTTTTTGCTTCTTGTTTTCTAGGTTGGCCTTCACCTCTACATATTTGTATTCCCAATCTATTGTTCTCCTTTTTGTTTCTTTGGTGAGAGTTGCCATCACAGATTCCAATTTTTCGATTCTGCCTGTTATTTTTTGCTGTGTGGGACATAAATTCTGGTCTCTTCATTCTCCTTTCTCTTTTTAACCACTCAGGAACACTGTGTTATGATTCCATGTTCTCACATTCCACAGGATCTTCTGTCTCATCAAATGGTGGACCATTTCCCCTTGTTTTATAGTATTAGGCATTGATGCCTAAATGTGCTCACTACATGTGGAGGTCTTATTTCCTTCTGCTGTTCACAGTTTCCTTGTTGAGTTATCTGCTTATGTTCAAGGTCTTTGCATTTTCTTCTTCCTGAGATCTTTAGTAATTTCTGGTTTTTTCCACTCATTTTCCCCCATTCACTGTGATGGTGGTTTCCTTAGGGACTAGATCTAAAAGCTTCTCAGCCTCCTCCCATGTTGGACAATTTACAATTCACCAGCCTTGTCTCTGCCTCCAGTTACTTTTGGGTAGGTCAGCACTGGCCCCAGCTGGATTCTGTGCTCTTTCCTTCAGTCTTGGTAGAGTGCTGTATACTCCTCCCCCACATAAATGGTGTCCTGTACTGCTGACTTGTCTCACTCTCTAATTCTCTGGCCTGGCACCAGCAGACAGCTGGTGGTGCAAGTTCTCTGCCCTGGCACAGGCAGTTCAGAGCTTTGCCACACGGGTGCTATGCAGTTGGCCACTCCAAGCAGTCTTTTGCTACAGAAGGGCTGAGGCCTCACTGACTATCTGTTGTGTCCTTAGCAAATTTCCACAGCCTAGAGCCAGATTCTCTGTAGCAATGGAAAAAGGGAGTGGGAGCCTAGGTGTTGGGGCTAAGTTTTGTTGTAAGCCTGTGCTGGGTTCAGGAGGTAGGGGAGAAGTGCTAAGTGAGCTCAGGGTCAATGAGCATCAGTTCATGGGTTTTAGGTTTTGTTTTTTAACCTTCTCTTGGATTTGGGGTATCCTAGTACATGAAGACAGATGGAGTTGTCATTGACTCATAATTTCTATTTTGGGGGTTTGAGAGGTCATGTGGATAAGAGAAAATGTCTAGTCCTCCATCTTGTTGCTCACTTGACCCAGAAGTAATACTTTTGTTTAAAAAAAAAAACTACTATACTACTTATTAGTGATTTAACCTTAGAGTGTCTAAGTCTCCTCATTTTAATAGGGTGCAGAAAAAGTAGAATAGACCCAGAAGCACATATTTGTATTTATTCAATTTATATTTATGATATACATATTTATATATGTACTTATTGTTTCCTCCAATAGAACTTAAGTTCCTTGCAAGTAGGAATTATTTTATTTACATACTCAGTACAGTGCCTGGAACATTTTGATGTTCAGTCATTTCTGACTCTTTGTGACCCCATTTGAGGTTTTCTTGGCAAATACATTAGAGTGGTTTGCCATTTCCTTCTCATTTCATAGATGAGGAAACTGAAGTAAACAGGGTTAAGTGACTTTCCCAGGGTCACACTGCTAGTTAAGTGTCTGAGGTCAGATGTGAACTCCAGAACATACTGGAGTATGTCCAAAACATACTCCAGGCCTGGCATTCTATCCACTGTACCATCTAGATGCCTGCCTGACACACAATAAGGGCTTAAAATTGATTGATTACTCATATCTTCAAGGCCTACCACAGTGTCTGCCATGTTGTTTGTGCTTAATAAATATTTGTTGATTGATCGAAATTGATAAGTATGAGAAATGGTTATAATTGTGAAGACTTAAGATTAGCAAATAGCCTCATTTAAATGGTCCTAAATACCATAAATCCTTGTTGAAGTAAGAGGGCTACCTAATGGATTTCAAAACTCAGATTCAAAAAATTATGATAGTGAAGTTGATCATCTGTTCCTCTGTAGCTAAGATCTAGAAAAAAATGTTACATATTTCAAGTAGAGGTAGACAGATGGAAGAACCTTTCTCCTTAAGGGGATGCAAGATACTGAAATTCCATTATGCAGAATTTCCTTTGTGAGGTATCTTAAGACTAGTGGAATATTTTAACTACAACCAGTGTAGCATATGCAGAGAATGTTTTGGGTGGTATCTTTAGTTTACTTGGAGAGTCAAAACTATGATGAGGTGTTTTTGGTTTTGTTTGGGTTTTTTTTGGGGGGGTAGGAGTGAGGAAAAAACCTGCAGTAAATAGTACTCTGGTATTTCCCATGTCTGTGAATTTTTAGCACTGTTCAAATTTGTAAAAGGAAATAAGATATCACTGATACACTGGAGAGACCTGGGCAAGGGGGAGGAGATGGGAAGAACAAGAAAGAAAAAGAGAGCTCAATCCTCTGAAAAGAGAGTACTTAAAAAAACACACAAACATACATAGAAAAAAACTATGTTAATTATGTTTAGTATATGTATATTTATTGTAGTTCAGTCATTTTCCAGTCTTTATGACCCCATTTGAGGTTTTTCTTGGCAAAGATACTGGAATG